GTCGGTATACCCGGGGTGGCTGGGTGTCGGTATACCCGGGGTGGCTGGGTGTCGGTATACCCGGGGTGGCTGGGTGTCGGTATACCCGGGGTGGCTGGGTGTCGGTATACCCGGGGTGGGCGGGTGTCGGTAGGTATACCCGGAGTGGGTGTCGGTATAGCCGGGGTGGTACACGCAGTGCTGCCTGTTACAGAGGGGAGAGGCCTGCAGCCAGTAGCTCCTCCCTGGCCGGCCTGGCTGTGTCTCTGGCTGTGTCCCCGGCCCGGTGTATGTGGCCGTTCCCCCACCCTCGCCCCGCTCGGCGGCCCGCTCACCGCTTGGCTGCTGGTCCTGGCCATGGGCCTGTCTCCCTGTCCTCGGATGGCTGGGGGCAATCACACAGCCAGCAGTAATGGCCGCCCGCATCGTCTGGGGCTGACGTCACTCCACAACAATGTTCGTGGTGGTAGAGGGAGGGCTGGGGCGGCGAGCTGCCGGCCTGTGATTGGCTGACGGTGTCAGGTCCCGCCCACCTCGATCTCTGATTGGACGAGCGTGCTGCTTCTTTCCCAGAGGCCGCCCGCGCGCCTCCTCCCCCTCATTCACAGAAACAGCGTCTGAGCGTCTCCTCCATTTCAGATCGAGTACACCCCCTACCGGCACCTCCTCACACACACAGCGCCGAGTACACCATCTACCGGCACCTCCTCACACACACACACACAGCGCCGAGTACACCCTCTACCGGCACCTCCTCACACACACAGCGCCGAGTACACCCCCTACCGGCACCTCCTCACACACACAGCGCCGAGTACACCCCCTACCGGCACCTCCCCAGCGCTGAGTACACCCCTTGCCAGCACCTCCCCAGCGCCGAGTACACCCCCTACCGGCACCTCCTCACACACACAGCGCCGAGTACACCTTACAGCATTGAGCACACCACCTACCTGCAACACACCTCACTACATTGAGTATAGTATACCACCTACCAGCACCTCACCCTAGCATAATACTTATTAGCCACACCGTATATCACTAATCTGCACCACGCCACACAGTGTATATAATTTACCAGCTGCACCATACCAAGTTAACAATCCCTCATTGAGAATACCACTTACTAGTCCATCAATTCAGAGTGTGCCACCTACTGGCACTTACTTTCTACACTTCAGAGTATACCACTTATCAGCATTGCATCTTACTATGTAACCTACCCATACCTCACTTAGTATACTACTTTTCAGTACTTACCGTATTCACCTTGATGGAGTATACAACCTGCCTGCACTTACTGGTGCACCCAAGAGTATACCCCTTACCAAGTATTCAAACTACTGGCACTATACCGTGTTAACATACCACCTACTGGCACCACCTCTCACAAGGTATACCACTTGCTGGCTACACCTGAATACCACATATGGACACAGGGCCCCTCACTGAATAACAAATATTGATACAGACTATCTCCCACTGAATACCACACATTGATACAGACTATCCCCCACGGAATACCACGTATTGATACAGACTATCCCCCACTGAATACCACGTATTGACACAGACTGCACCCCACTGAATACCACATATTTATACAGACTGCCCACCACTGAATACCACATATGGACACAGGGCCCCCCACTGAATACCACGTATTGACTCAGACTGCCCTCCACTGAATACCACGTATTGACACATACTGCCCTCCACTGAATACCACATATTGACACAGACTGCCCCCCACTGAATACCACATATTGACACAGACTGCCCCCCACTGAATACCACATATTGACACAGACTGCCCCCCACTAAATACCACGTATTGACACAGACTTCCCCCACTGAATACCACGTATTGACAGACTTCCACCCACTGAATACAACGTATTGACAGACTGCCCCGCACTGAATACCACATATTGACACAGACTTCCCCCCCCACTGAATACCAAGTATTGACACAGACTCCCCCCCCACTGGATACCAAGTATTGACACAGACTGTCCCTCACTGATTACCAAGTATTGACAGACCGCTACTCATTGAATACCACCCATGGACACTGACTGCCCCCCACTGAATACCACGTATTGACACTGACTGACCCCCACTGAATACCACGTATTGACACTGACTGCCCCCCACTGAATACCACGTATTGACACAGACTCCCCCCACTGAATACCTCGTATGGACACAGACTGCCACTCAGTGAATACCACGTATGGACACAGACTGCCCCCCAATGAATACCACATATGGTCACAGACTGCCCCACAATGAATACCACATATGGACACAGACTGCCCCCACTGAGTACAACATATTGACACGCAGTCCCCCACTAAATACCACAGATTGCCCCCACTGAATTCCACGTATTGACACAGGGTCCCTCACATATTGACACAGTCTGCTCCTCTCAGAATACCACTTATTGACACCGACAGCCCCCCACTGAATGCCCCTTATTGACATCGACAGCCCCCCCACTGAATGCCCCTTATTGACATCGACTGCCCCCCACTGAATGCCACTTATTGACATCGACTGCCCCCCACTGAATGCCCCTTATTGACACCGACTGCCCCCCACTGAATGCCACTTATTGACACCGACTGCCCCCCACTGAATGCCCCTTATTGACACCGACTGCCCCCCACTGAATTCCACTTATTGACATCGACTGCCCCCCACTGAATGCCCCTTATTGACATCGACTGCCCTCCACTGAATGCCACTTATTGACTCCGACTGCCCCTCACTGAATACCACATATTGACACAGACTGCCCCTCACTGAATACTGCATAGATTTGAAGCTTAATCACTGTTATTTGTTTATACAGCCCTAGACACTCCTCCCCTGGCTGTGACTTACACAGCCTGTGTGGAAAAATGGTTTAATTTTCAATCAAGTGTTAACTTGCTTTAGAGGTTTTTATCTCCTTCTCTGTAAATTGAACTTTAATCACACACAGGAGGCTCCTGCAATGTATGGTAAGCTATAAACTGAGTAGGAGATGAGTTATGTTCTAAATTAAACAGACTGTGCAATAAAGGAAGTGTAAACATCAGATCTCACTTGACATGAAGTGTTTAAGAACACCTCTTTAACCCTCCTAACCACAGCTCTTAAAAACACAGCACCTATTCTCCTAATAATTTTCTCACTTCTATTTTTCACTTTCTCTCACTTCCCTCACTATCAATATCTCTCTATCATTTTACCATTTCCTGTTCCTGATACCATCTTTATTGCTCCCTCTCTGCTCTCCTCATCTCTGTATTCATCACACACACTTTACTCATATTTATCCAGCCTTTCTCCACACATCCCTCCTAAATCCCCTAAATACAAGCTCCCAACATTTAAATCTTACTCCCACCTTCTCTTCCTTTCCATCCTACTACTCCTAGCAGCTGGTGATATCTCTCCAAACCCTGGTCCCTTCACTACTCATCCACCTGGTACAAACACCAGAAACCACAACAACCTAATACCCATTCCATGTAATTCTCACTATAATTCCTCTTTTAAAGCTGCACTCTGGAATGCCTGCTCTGTGTGCAGCACCTTTAAATCTACTTCCACCCATGACCTATTTATCTCACACTCCCTAAACCTACTTGCACTAACAGAAACATGGCTCTCTCCCTCTGATACTGCTACCCCTGCCTCACTGTCCTTTGGTGGTTTTCACTTTACCCATAATCCAAGACAAGTAGAGATTAAAGGTGGTGGTGTAGGTTTTCTCCTCTCACCCCACTGCTCCTTTAAACCCCCCACCCCCCCTTCCCTCTCTTTCCCATCATTGGAAATTCATTCAATTCACCTTTTCAAACCCTTATCTGCTAACATTGCCGTTATCTATCGTCCCCCTGGTTCCCCTCTCCTCTTCCTTGACCACTTTGCTGCCTGGCTACCTTACTTCCTCTCTTCTAACATTCCATCCCTAATTCTTGGAGACTTTAATATTCCCATTAACCCACCTTTGACCCCAGCAGCCTCTAAACTACTTTCAATTACTTCCTCCCTTGGACTATTGCAGTGGGCTAACTCTCCCACCCATGTAGCTGGCAATACCCTCAACCTTATTTTCTCTTATTCATGTACAGTATCTAATATCTGCAACACTCCATTTCCTCTCTCTGATCACCACCTCTTATCATTTGCTCTCAATTACCCTCTCACCCAACAACCTCAGCCTAACCCCCTTAACTCAGGAGGAACATTAACTCTATTGACCTCCAGCAGCTGTCAGCAGACATTGATTCACAACTGCTATCCATCCCATCCCTCTCCTGTCCCTCACTGGCCATCTCCACATATAACACTACCCTCACCTCTGCCTTGAACACTGCAGCCCCGCTCCAAACATGCACCTCGAGGAGGACACGACCCCAACCTTGGCATACTAAATCAACATGCTATCTGCAGAGTTGCTCCCGTTGTGCTGAACACTCCTGGAGGAAGTCCCGCACCCAGGCAGACTTTCTCCATTATAGATTCATGTTGCGTTCATACAGCGCAGCCCTTGCCCTCGCCAAACAGTCATACTTTTCCTTTCTCAGTTCATGCTCCTGCAATCCCAGACGTCTCTTTGACACCTTTAACTCACTTCTGCGCCCTGCTGCGGCCACCCCTCAAACTAACCTTACAGCTAATAGCTTTGCATGCTACTTTACCAACAAGATTGAATAGCTAAGGAAACAATTCTCCCCTCCTTGCCATTCTTTCTCAACCACACATAAATCATGCCTTCCCTACCCTTCAGACTTTCTCCCTGGCTACTGAACAAGAGGTGGCTGCGCTTCTCCATTACTCTCGCCCCACTACTTGCCCGCTCGATTCTGTCCCATCCCACCTCATCAGATCTCTCTCCCCTTGTCTTGTGCCTACCCTAACACACATCTTTAACTGCTCTCTCTCTTCTGGCACTGTTCCTGCTGACCTTAAACATGCCACTGTATTACCTATCCTGAAAAAAATCATCTCTTGACCCATCCTTCCCCTCTATCGTCCAATATCCCTGCTCCCTTTCTCATCAAAGCTTTTGGAAAGACTTGTCTTTACCCGTGTGTCTCGCTTCCTCAATTCCAACTCTTTCCTTGACCCTCTTCAGTCTGGCTTCCGCCCTCTCCACTCTACTGAGACTGTTCTCATCAAAGTCACTAATGACCTAATCGCAGCTAAATCCAACGGTCACTACTCCATATTAATTCTCCTTGACCTCTCTGCTGCCTTTGACACCGTTGATCATGCTCTCCTCATTCAAACTCTTCAATCGCTCGATCTCTGTGACTCTGTCCTCTCTTGGTTTTCCTCCTATCTCTCCCAATGCTCATTCAGTGTCTCATTTTCCAAGCATACCTCCTCCCCTCATCCTGTCTTGGTTGGAGTTCCCCAAGGCTCTGTCCTTGGTCCCCTTATATTTATAGCTTATGACCTCCCAGAGTAACCTCTACCTTACATACCTGTCTCTTGCTCTCTCTACCCTCTCCTCCAGCTCTGCTTCACTCCCACCCTATTTGATTGATATTTCCTGTCCTAACGTGTCTTATACCCCACCTCCTATAGACTGTAAGCTCATTTGAGCAGGGTCCTCTTCAACCTATCGTTCCTGTAAGTTTTCTTGTAATTGTCCTATTTATAGGTAAATCTCCCCTCTCATAATATTGTAAAGCGCTACGGAATCTGTTGACGCTATATAAATGGCAATAATAATAATAAGTAGTAGTCACATGCAGGGAAGTGTGACCAGTAGAGTTGAGCGGACATCTGGATGTTCGGGTTCGACGGTGTAGCGGATTGCATTAAGGCTGTCCTCAAGAATTTGTATTAAAAATTTATTCGTGTAATTGTTTCCCTGTATAACTGTAAGTATATGTAGCTTTCGTATGATTGTTTGGTAGTTTTCATACGAATGAAACTACCGAACCATCATACCACCCCAGTGAGAAGTGTGCACCTCGTTAAGCTTTCACACTCTGTAACCGCAGTTTAATGGACCGTGAAATTGATATATTGTATGTACCTGTGTGGTCGCAGTTCGGCATACGAACCGCGTGCGGCAGCCATCTTACGCAAGAAAATCTCAGCTGTGTTTGGTCGTCAAGTGTCTGGAACTCAAATCGGACACTCAAACACCCGAACACCACTGAGACTTCCAGAGCTCCGTAAGTCCCGAACGGAGGGGCCAGTCAGCCCCTCGTTCGGTAAAATAAATGTACCGAACAAGGGAATACAGACGAATAGAAGATTGTCTGTGGATGGCAAGCATTACTGTATGTTTTAACTACCGAACGGAGACCGACCGCAGGGCCAAAACACATGGAGCCTTTTTCGGATACCACCTTGTGTGCGGTCGGTCAAATTTCACCTTCCACCTAACTCCCGAACCCATGGTCCGATCTGGGTGAATTTTGAATATGTTAGTCACCCAGATCTGGGCTACACGGGGGTACCCAAAATATTATTCTAGCTGCTTGTTTTGGGGGTACATCCAGAACTCGGGGAAAACTACAGTATGTTTAATTGGATTATGTGTCACACTGAGGGGAGGAGATGTGTGGGAGGTAACTGTTACACTATTGGCTACTGTAATAATTACTGTGAATCCCTCCCTTGCATGGTAGAAAGCTTTAAAAGAAGGTTGAGTGATTAAAAGTTCAATTCTGCTCCTGATGCTGTGTGTCATCCAGTCATTGGGATCTGTATGGGGATATTTGTGGATTACCTTGCTTGCTGTACTTATTGTTATATGGGATTTTATTACTTGTTCCTGAGCCTCACTGGGATCTTTGGTGGAGTTAACCTGTGAAAGACCAGCTCTCTGCTACAGCCGGGTTCGGCCGAACTTCGGCAAAAAGTTCGAGTTCGGGACTCGAACTTGACCCCGAACCCTGTTGAAGTCAATGGGGACCCGAACTTTTGGGCACTAAAATGGCTCTAAAAAAAGTCCTGGAAAGGGCTAGAGGGCTGAAAAAGGAAGTAAAATGTATTGCCTAAGTACTAATATACTTACCCAGTGTAAGAAGAATGTTACACTGTTTACAGTTTTAAATAAAAAGTATACAAACATAGCCAGGATTCAGCTGTAAGCATTTGCAACACTTACAACAATCAAGTAACACACATTCATATAAAATGTAAGTTACTTGGCCAATCAACGTAATGACAGGAATGAATAAGTAGATAACTCCCTAATTCCCACGGTATTAGAGAGCTATCTATTAAAAGGCTGAAAGACCTGAATTGGTTTATTAGCCAAATTTATTAATACTAAGTAAAGATTACTTAGTATTAGTAAATTATGCCCCTACTTGCTATACCGCCATAGGCTGCTCACTGTTTAAAAAAAAAAAAAAAAGGTTCCCCCCTCCTGAGCCCCCACTCCTGAATAGCGGGTGGGGGCCCTAAAGTAAAATAATTGGGGGGAACCTATTGTCCTTCCCCCAGGCCCCCACGCCTGAGCGGCGGGTGGGGGCCCTGAATTAGAATAAGGGGGGGACCTAATGTCCTGGCCCCCACCCGTGAGTGGTGGGTGGGGAAACCGCTTACTACCTCAATTTAGGCATGTGCCAATCACCTGGTACCTGTCTTACACCCATCCTGTTCTTTGATAGGGTTAAGTCAACTGGCTGTCCTTTTGTACGACGTCCATACTTAGCTGTAACCCATCCTCATATGGAGGTATTCGCCCCTCGGCCCAACGCATAGCTAGCGCCTCACTTCAACTGCTTCAGGTTAACAGTCAGG